ATCAATTTCTGCAATATATCGTTATGTTCTTCAAACTCCGTCTTTCTTTGACTACTGGTAACAGTTGTATTGAAACCCCACTAAATGCAACTTAGACAGCATGGCAAAATGTTGTTATTACCTTTTTTTAAGGAGTGAGCTCACTTTAATAGGCTTGGCAGCAACCTAAAGGTCAGCTGAAAACCATCCTTCAAAGTAGTTTTGTTCATGTAGTATTTCAGGTGTTTCTTTGACAACTGGTGTCAGTTGCATGAAAACTCAATTTAAAGGAAGGAAACCCCGCAAAATGCTGTTTATTACATTTTTTATAAAGGAGCTGGCTCAATTTCCAAACAGGCTCATCATCAATCTCAAAGACTAGCTGAAGACCATCTTCCCAAACAAAATGGCTAGCAGTAATTTCAAGTTGGTAAACAAGATGAAAAAACTGCAAATTAAAAAAGTTACGAGCAACATTTTGCCATGCCCCCTTGTTCAAAGCGATTATTATTAATAAAGAAACTCTGGGTTTATTATTATTGTTTTTCCTTAGATTTATTGAGCTTGGACCTCAGCAACATGAAGAAATTAAAGGAAATATAATTGATACTCAGGTGAGAATGTAAGGGAGTAATCCATTCCGACTTTGTGAAGCTGTTTAATATGTAATATATAATAAATATAAGTGGGGGACCTTTATGGGCATTTAATACTGCAAGCAAGCAGTTTTAAAGCCCACAAAGGTTGRATGCAAATATTTTATATTGCTTATTAAATTCCAACATAAGCTGAAGCTGTGAGATCAAGGCATTCAGTTACATTCACACATGTAGTAGTGACTTCTTGGTAACATAATTACACAGCAGGGATTTACCAAAGAAATTGCCATTGTCAACCATTTGTATTTTATTTCCAGAGCAAGTCTGGCAAGCTACCAACTGCTAATGCTCACAAATCTGGTCTRTCATGGATGAAGAAAGGAAGCTATGAAATTTTCTCCAAAGAACAGAGTTAATGATTCCTGTTTTTAGGAGAAATGATTTATATTAAATCTCTTAGCTATAAACTTGGTTATTCTCTGTATCTAAAACAATGAGATTAATTTACAACTTACAACGAGAAGTACTATAGACCATACTTGTGAAAGTTTATAGCCCATGCATGCATTTTGTAATGTTTCATTATTAACTGCAATACAGACTCGGTACTTCAATGAAGCAATGGAGACAAGAATGTCTTATTTCTACAACATGYAACACAGACACAGCAAAGGTTTTGTCTCAAAACATCAGAATATTAACTTATTGTATAGCATTATAGAAATACTGAATTTTATAGTTCCCAGTGCCATCTTGAAAAGCAAACAAACCTTTGCATCAAACCAAGAAAGTAGAGCACTTAATGATAGATACCTCTGAATAACAATGCCTTACATGTCAAAAAAGGTATCTATCACAGCAGACTCCTGTCTTGCTCAGCTACTTTTCAAGAAGGCACWAGGAACTGTAATTTCATTGCATTAAGAAATGGCCATTTTTTACTCCAACATAAACACAGATTTGGGGCATACTGCAGTTTTGAGTTGGTAGTCACATAGTCAATGTAAAACCAGGTAAATTACTTGTATATCAGTTTGGGAACATTCAATTGGTGTTTTGAATATATGTTTGCGTGGTGGAAGTCAAACTGCATGTCAGGGTATCAGTTTTGTCCAGATTTAATATAAGGCCCTATTAGATAAGAATACATACTGAATGTTACTATAACATTCATGTAAGGATATTGTATATTCATCTTATTTTAGAATATAAAAGAGAGGTATTTTTTTAGTGTTTTGTTCTAGTGTTTGTTTTGCTTCATTTATTTCATTYGTTTCCTGCATCCATATATAATCAGCCTTTCTAGTCCATTCTCCCCCTACTATCTTTACAAGAAAATGCATCCTAGTTTTGTGAACTGTTTCAATTTTACATGTATATTATGTAAATGAGGACTGTATGTTGTCTGTGTTTTGGAGTCAGACATGTTATAAAGTGTACAGATTTTGTAGTGCTTGTATGAAGTTRAATATTAAAAAGTGATGCAGATGCAAAATTTTGTACTTTGCCATGTAATCATTTTGGAGCTTTCTTTGGTCAAAACGTCCCTGCTAGCAGAGTCTCTCTCATTGTAGTTGTAGTTTTATAACTGCAGTGAGAGGATTTTTTATTGATTTAGCCTTGGGAACTACAGCAACAGATTCTGTTAGTAAGGAAGGTTAAAACATTGTTATTACCATGTAACTGGTCTATCACTGCTGTGGTTTTGTTTCAATTTCCAGTCGAAGACTATTATATATAAGGGATCCCCTGTCTTCAAAAATCAAAGGGCTTCCTGTGTTTGCTCTATGGACTTCATCCCTAAAGATCTAGCCAGTGTCACACATCATTCTCTATAACTCTGGACATAACAACAGGATGTGTTACACAAGCTAATGGACATCCCACTTTACTCCATTGACTACCATGGGAAACTGGGGTAAGAGGAGGCAATTATGTATGTCTTTATTGCTCTAAAATAAAATGTATTATCACCATTCAAATCTTAAAAAAAAATCTTAAAAAATCTTAAAAAACACAGTATTTGTCAAAGCAAACAAACCAGCTCTAACTTCTGAAGCTAAATTAACAATTGAAAATTTCTTGATAACACAATGAATCAATTCCTTTTGACGGATTGCTGGAAACAAGCCTCTCCTGCCAACTTAATAAATGATGAAACAATTTTGAATGCATTCTTTTCCAATCAAATCCCATGTCTCCATTTCACTGAATAATAGATTCAAAATAGAACACTCATTGCACATTCTGTAAGAGTTTATTGTGATGTTTTACATAATCCKTCCTTCAATCTCTGCACTTCGTCACTTCTAATAACATCCCATAACGAGTTGTCCAATTCATATCTTTTTGACATCCAGTGAAAATGTGTTGGTGGATCAGTCTCTTGGTTTCCATGCTGGTATTCAAAGTTTGGGCTCAGYTCAATTGCTAAACTAGACTTTATCAATCCAACACCCCCTGTTTTGTTTGGTCCAGGGTGATAGATTCGTCCACTTTCTGGCAACATGCAAATTTTTTCCGGCTGAAATGGGAATGTGAAGACGTCRGCCATTCCATTGCAAGTCAGCAAACCTTCAGGTGAATCATCATTTCCTTCTATAAGCGTAGAGAATACAAATGGGACGTCGTCACAGCGGATATAATTTTTCTCAATACCGCATGGTGATATATACGGGAATTCTTCATATCTTGAACTAGTGTTGTGCTTAATTCTCTTGAAGAAGAATTTTAAAAATTGCTTATCTGAAATAAAAAATATAAGATAACTGAATGATAATCATYATAATGGAAATAAAAGTATTAATTATTATGAATAAGTAAAAAAAGTATTTTGGAACTAAAAAAGTAAATTAATACAATAATAGGGAACAGGATGCTTGTTTTTGGGGAGGATCTTGGGGGTGGGGGTGGGGTCTAATAATTTGGTTGCAAATTGTGAAAATTGTACCTTTGAAACAAGTGATGAAGTTTTTCACTTTTGTGTCATCTAGAAAAAGCTGCAGAAAATAATACAGAAAGTTTAGTCTGTGGAATAAACTTTGTCTTATTTAGTGATATTTTTCTCCTTTGTGATTTCTAAAGAACTACAAAAAGCATGGATAAATATACACGAATAGAGAATAAAATGAATGAATAAATATGGCAAAGAATAACTTGATGAATTGATAAAGAAAGGAAAAGAGAAAATGAACACATTAGCTTATAAGATGGAAAATTAACAAAAATCATTTCCTTCAATATTGCAAATTGTGGGAGGGGTAACTGACTGAATTATTCCAAACTCTTACCTGTCCTTGATGGTCAATGTAATAAAAATATTCCCTTATTTTAGGTGCCGGAGACTGTCCTTGCACATAACTAACATGTCTTGACAAAACAGCTGACAGCGGTGTAGTGAAAGAACGAAAAGATCTTGCAGCAAGACAGATCATACCTATGCAGAAAACGGTTCCTATAGACTAGATTGACTACTTGACCAACAGGATGAGATGCAGTAAGTAAACCTAGGAATTTTCACGCAAAACGACCATAAAACTCGAAAAAGATYGTCTAAATAAAGACGATGATCTTACATAATCTTATTTGTTTTGGTGATTTCCTGCCCGCAAAGCATCAATGAACTAATGCGCATGTACATTGGCGTGAAGCGCTGGTTGAATTGAATTCGTTGAGCGGGCGCCAATTTCTTGAACTTGAAAACTTGCTGTCAGATCGGCGTGGTCGAATTTTGCCAAATTCCACGTGAAATTATCACATTGAATTTGCTTAAGACGCCGTAATTCAATCGCTGAAGTACAACAAGAATGTGACAGGAATCTAKCTAAATATTCGTGGAAAAAAGCTTGTTTTTTTGCTTGGAAAACTCAACGGTTGGAGAGCGCAAAAATGGCCGCTCCGGGAAAACGAACCTGGAAACTTCGTAAGTGAATAGCTTTTTAATTTTCTAATTACTGGAATGGCGTGGTTATTGTATTTTTAGATCACAAGGGGAGTAGTTTTACTATTGCTTGTAGCACAAATGGCAATATTTGACCAGGTCTAGTAATCTTAATTACTCGGTGTGAAAAACTTCTTTGAGCTCCTTGATTTTGTACTAAAATTTCGTTTTGGTACAAGATCAGCTTCCCCTCATGTTATAAAATCTAAGTTTTCGATGTGAAGTAGGAATTAATTTTCCACGATCGCTAAAATCACTGCTCATTATGGTAATTAGGTTATATATATACTACAACTTTCCAGAGATTTTAAAATTCTTCAGCTTGGTACGGTCGATCGTCTCGTGGCTTCCTTCAAACTGTGTGTACTAATCAGACCTTCATTAAAAATCTTTACTTTTCTMTCGGTAAATTGCCATAATTATGGTCTGTTTACTTTGTAGTCTATAAGTATTTCCGACTTGGTTTGTATCTCAGTTGAAAGTGAAGTTCATTCATGACTTGTTTGCGATGTCTACWCTTCACCCTCCTCAATTTTATTCACGATTCCGGAGTACACTATTACGTACAATCTCAAAATGAAAGATTTTCTAAACTTCTCTTTGCTCCAGTGCCCCATTTCTGTTATCAGCGTTTGATCTCCATGGTTATAAATTATAGCTATTATTAGATATCCCTTCAGTGTTCAATCGCATTGCACAGAGACAATATAATTGTTTACAAAGTGGGAGCTTTTCTCATAAATTATTGAAATACGTAATCCTTAAATAACAGATTCTTGGATTTATAGAATCCCACKTTTATTTGTATTAACAAACATGTTTGTTTTGGATGTACTTTCTTCAATAGTGTATTATTTTTTGGAAATTTATCTCTTTTAGATGTTTTTATGACAACTATTGCATACCTATGCCACTTACAAACTATATTTAATATACTATATTAAAAACTTTACGTATTACCTGTCTAATAATTTTAACAGGATAATTGATAATAGAAATGTGGAATTATATTACAAATAGTTTAAATTTGTTCTGGCAATTTAGCTTTTCTTATTCCACAGATATTCAATATCTTTTAAACTTAGCAAACTTTCAATATAAGGTTTGACTTCAYAAAAACTGTTGCCCTCATGGGAAGGCATGAAAGTTTAAAGAGTAATTTTATTGATAAGTGGTAGCTGTCTTGCATATGGGTCTCCATTGTGTTTTTAAGTCCCTTTATTTTTGACAAATTGATATTTTGCACTACTTCAGTAAACTTCTTATTGATTGTTAATGAAATAATTTCTTTCAGACACATTTCTCCGTAATGTACCTAGTTAAATGTGAATACAATTGTCTGCTTTGAAGTCAGTTCTTATATTTATTTCAAGACTATACTTCCTTTGAAGTAGTGTATAATTTATGATTTCATACTCCTAAGACCTTGAACATCTTAATACCATTTTTTTTTTGAACAGTGATTATTATTCTTCAAAAAAAGCATAAAATTAGAAAAAATAGTTTTAATTCATCGGAATCAAGCCTAGTACATGTACACATGTCCTTCATATAAACATTGCTGATACATATAGACAAAATTAGCTTTATTTTGATAAGGTAGCAAATAATACTGCACAGGATAGCAAACTTACAATTGTCTCACTACGAATTCACACTGATTGAAGTCATGACCTTTCCATTGAAATCTTCAGACATAAAGTTAATATTTAGAACTAAATATACATAAAGATATTGAGCTAAACGTTCTAACGGTCATTCATCATAAATTGCCTGATGAGCATGGGTCAAACCATACGAAACAAGTCTGTAGCAATAAATTAATGAATCCTATTCAAATCGTTTAGCTCAATATTTATGTATAAATTGCTCCTTTAACATGTAAGTGGAGTACTGTAAAAAATTATTCTTCAATTTATTTCGTTTGTATAAAACTAAATATTGATGTATTCATTTGTTGTGTGATACTTTGACATTTGTGGAATTCAATCAGCCGGGACACTAGAATTTCTGATTTGTTTTATTATTAATCTTTAATTAAGCAAATTTTCCTCATAGTGATTCAACTTTATTCATAGTAATTCAACTTSTATTCTTTATCCTCATAGAAATATTCTGATTTCATGTCTAATGGAATTTCWTTGTACCAATATCCTTGTTACAATAGCCTGTGAACATGCCCTCCCCACTCCCATTTTTCACATCTCTCCCCTCCCCTACTTCCCCCTTCCCTCTCCCTCATAAGACATGAACCTTTTTACAGATTATTGTAATATTTATGTAAAATGAATCATGGTATGTCAATATCCTTTTTGTCTTTCACATGTTTCCCTTTCTTCCCATCTCTTTCTCCACCTTTATCTCCCTTTCTTTACCCACCCCTCCCCAACCTACAGCAGGAGTTTACTCACAGGTATCCCTTAACAGGATAATGCAGTATAAATTATGTAATATTTTTTTATTATATTTGTAGAAGAGTTTGTTGCCCATGGATCCAATGTCAACTGCCTTGCACTGGGTCCWAGTTCAGGCAGGGTGATGGTGACAGGCGGGGAGGATCGTAAGGTTAATATGTGGGCCATTGGYAAACCAAATGTTATAATGGTAAGGCTTGCAGTATTGATTGTTTTCAACYATTCCCATGAGATTCAAAAGATAAAAGACTGGCGGCCATGTTGGAGGAATGAACAATAGATACTAATGAGAAATCCTTTGTTGAAGTTCATACAAGATGGCCGCTCTGACGTATAGTGAAAAATTTAAAAATTTAATTTTACATAATTATTTAATAGTTAGAAAACCCAGTAAACTAACTACTGTTTTTCAGTTGTGGCATTCAAGGTTTTTTTTGTTCTTTATTAAGTGTAATTTTGTGCAATTTTGTATGTTTTGTATAYAATGAGTCCCTTCTATAATATAATTCATATTGTCTTACCAACAGAGCTTGTCTGGTCACACAAGCCCCGTTGAATGTGTTCAGTTTAATGGTGGAGARGACATGGTTTTAGCAGGGTCGCAGTCTGGAACTCTTAAAATATGGGATCTAGAGGCTGCCAAAAGTGAGTAACAGTTCCAATTTATATGATATAAAGATATTTAGAAAGTTTATATTAACTAATGYTGTTATTTSTTTAGTTCTCAGAACTCTTACAGGSCATAAAAGCAGTATAAGAAGTCTTGACTTCCATCCATATGGTGACTTTGTGGCCTCTGGATCYTTAGATACTAATTTAAAGGTTAATATTAATACTAATATTTCTTTTGTGCATGCCAGGTGATCAGCGCGCATGTACGAGGAACGCCTAGTAGATTCAATGAAGGCACAATCCCCTTATTCAGCGTGCGCTGAGAATATTTTCCTTCTCGCAGTATTAAATTCAAAATAGAACGATTAGAAGTGGAAATTTAACTTAAATACATTAAGATTAATGATTAAATGTTGGCTTTTGAGCAGTAGACTATCGAATTCTTCTTTAGAACATTGTACATGCGCATGCTGAATGATGGGATGGTGCCTTCATTGAATCCACTAGGCGTTCCCCGTGCAAGCGTGCCGATCACCTGGTGGACATCGAACAGTATCAACTTTGACTAATATACTAATAGAAAGTGATATCAGTGAAAACTATGATGAAAATGTTTGCAAGAACGAGAGATTTTTATCCCTTGCGATGGTCAATATTTACCATTCTACTATGCAGTATTGAGAAAAACTCTCCTAAATTATGGTATCATGAGAAAGGCCATGTTAACCTATCATAACGGGTCATTTGCACTACAGCGTAACTTAACTACAACTAGCTGAACAGCCTTGCATGTTTTCCGTCTGGAGATCTTACTTTCATGACAAGAGAAAGTGGACAAAGCATTCTGGTAGTTGTAGAATGACGCCAAAATACAAATCGCCTATACTTATCAAATGTTCTCTTTATTTCAGTTATGGGATGTCAGAAGAAAAGGGTGTATATTTACATATAAAGTGAGTTTATGAAAATTTACAGTTGAAAAACTTTGAAAAAGCTATTTTATTTTTGTTCTGTTCTGTATTTTGTGATGTCATAATGCCGAGGAAAATGATTATTAAATTTGTCACACTTAGAGGGCTATTTTAATACTAATATYTTAATGCTTCCATTAACCACAAATAAATTATTATTGAAGATATAATGTAATGGATTAGATTAATAGTCAAAATGTAATCCAGAAGTTTAAATCTGCTAAATTAGTAACTCAATTTAGTTATGAATCGTGCCCACAATTTAGAAGATGTTTACATTCATGTTTTGACATTTTTCAGGGTCATACAGATTGTGTGAATAGTTTAAAATTTAGTCCTGATGGCAGATGGATAATATCGTCAGGAGAAGATGGATCWGCTAAGGTAAATAATAACAAACAATAATAACATCAAGGGAAGATCCAGAAGGGTGTTTAAAGAGACACAGGAATTATCCTCAATTTTTAATTTACTTTGTGTGCCATTTGCAAAATGTAACACTCCTGTGATTYGATATTTAATTCTGCGGATGATTGCAAATAGCAGTCCATGTGATAGTGGGAGAATAAACCCTTTTAGCGATCTCTTTTACGCTGTGTTAGCCTCAAAACCATGTAATAAATTCTTTTATTCACAACAGCCCGTGCAAATGCAAGAGATCTGTGAGTATAGAAAACAATGGAAATAGTTTGAAATCTCACGAGTTTTATCTACATTTTCTGAATATTTTAGCACACAATTGAGGCTAACAAAGCATAAAAGAGATCGCGAAACTCGACTATTCTACTTCTCCACCTGGATTCGCTCAACCTAAAACCTATTGGCAGTCAATGTCTTGCTAAAACCGAGATGTTTTCAAGCATTTGGTTGTGTCTAGTCTTTAAAACTACAAGTACTAAAACATCAGTATATGTCATCTGATATAACTGGAGGGAAGCAAATATCRAGATTTGTGACCCAATTGTCAAGCATAWTTTGACTGATRTCTCATRAGTCRCAGGTTTAAAATGCTGATGTTTTATTCATCAGTGCTGAATAATGATTATGTAACAATTAACAAGTCCTGTAAGTATATATTGTCTTTGTTTTCATAGTTATGGGATCTGACGGCAGGAAAACTTATTAATGACTTTAAAGATCACACCGGTCCGGTTAACTGTGCTGAATTCCATCCTAAAGAGTTCCTTTTAGCTACTGGTAGTAATGATAGAACKGTGAAGTTTTGGGATCTTGAAACATTCCAAATTGTATCGACTACTGAAATTGAAACGTGTCCAATAAGGTGATTATAAATCTGATTCATGCATTGACTGACTGACTAACTTATTGACTGGTAGACTAAATGAATGGCTGACTGACTGAATGATTGATTGGGTGACTGATGGGTAAAAGGAAAGAAAAACGGATTAATTGAGTTGCTCATTCATTGAATTGTCTTTCACTCAAACTGTTTACTAGCTACAATTTTGATCAATATGATCATATATTTAATATTTATCAAAGAATTATAAGAAATATGATCTCCTATTCACATTTTCATTTGTAATATTTTCAGATGTTTAAAATTCCACTCAGATGGATTGGSTTTGTTCAGCGGAGCACAAGATTCTCTAAAGGTAAAAATTGTGTAAAATTGGATTCCATTACATCCACTTGCTGACTCACAAGATGTCATGCAGGAAAACCACACTTTAGCTTGCACTTATAAAGTGACACTGATGATGATGATGATGACGGTGGGTGGTGCATTCTCAAACCAAGATCCTTCTCAGTTCTCAATGGAAAACTGAAGGCTCTACTTTGAGAAGATACTGGAAGATGAATTTGGGTCGTACGATATATGCATACTGATGGTGCTTGGGAATTTTTGAACCAATCAAATCAAAAAACCACTTGTCTCCAATCAGAGCTCTCAAGCCTTTCCTTTGGAAATGTGAGAAGGATCTGGGTACGAGAATGGTGGTGGGGTAATGATAATGATGATGGTTATGGTTGGGACGATGATGATGATGATTGTGACTATGATGACGATGGTGATAATGATGATGATGATGATGATGATGATGATGATGATGATGATGATGATGACGATGATGATGATGATGACGATGGTGATAATGATGATGATGATTATGGTGATGTATTGTCAATGATGATAATGCCGATAGTAGCTATCATCAATAGACTAATTTACCATCTTCTGTCCAATCAGATATATGGATGGGAACCTGTCAAGTGTTACGAAAGCTTCCCTCTAGGGTGGGGTAAGGTTGCTGATCTCTCCTTGTCCTCTAATCAAATGGTAAGGACTGGCAGAGACTGACTGTGGAACAATTTGAATAACAATTGTTCTGAAATGAATTGCTGATCATTACAGCGAAAATCATTGCATCGCAACTTCCTCGTTTCGAAGTTTTTTTTTATTTTGTTCTTTCCTGCGATCGAAGGGGCGGAGCTTATCGTAAACTCGTTCAGTCATTGGCTGATTTGCAGCAAGCTCAGCCCTCAAGTCGCAGAAAAACCTAACCTAAATCCTAACGATTTCTTTTGAACGTTGAAGTCGCGATGCAACGGTTTCGACTGTAATGATGAATCTTCTGTATGGCTGCATGCGCAAGAGGCTAGTCAGTATTGATTGTAGTTTTATCGTTTTATATATTTTTTATTTTAGATTGGTGCTGGATTCTATCAGACCAATGTSTCTGTATGGGTAGTAGATCTTGGGGTGAGTAACATCAGTTTTTTAAATCGGGATAATATATGAACTATTTGTTAATTATATTTTCTTATCAAATGGTGTTTTACAGCATTTAGAAAATCTTATGGCAAAGGCTAACGAAGAAAAGTCAGATATAGGAATAAACCAAGGGGTGAGAAATATCATAATGCATTGTACGTACACAGCCTGTCCTTTGTAATCACAGACTACAATCCCGGTCAAAAGGGTTGAGACAAAGTGATGAAAATAGTGTTTTTATATGTTTACTACTGAAAAAAACCTAATTTAAATCCCCTTTCCCCCCTAAATCAATGTTGTGAGTCGTGAATTATCATTTGTGGTCTTTCATAAACTGCATTAATTCAACTTTGTAATGAGGGGAGCGGGGAGTAGGGAATTGTAGGMATTTAAAAGCAACCTCCCCAAATTTCATGAATTTTAGGGTCAAAAGATGGAATGTCTCAACTAGTTTTGACTGGGATTGTAGACTTTCAAGTGGACAGGCTATTATTTGAGCTTTAAGACCAGCGTGGAATCAGCAAAATCAGTGACAACTAATGCACTGAAAAGAGCCTGAAGTAGTTGTTGTTGACAAGTAACACAATTGTGTAAATTCTTGTGCACTGATTGGCTGATTAGAGTGTGTCAGTAATTGGACAATATTACAACTCAATCCCATGGTAAATTTGTTAAGTATACAAGAGTAGTATTATTAATATTATTTTGTTTTGTTTTCATAGCAAATACCACCAGAATGTGCTCCAGTTATTGAGCAGTTGCCTGCTAAAGTCACGTCTAAAACGTAAGTAATGTAGTGATAACTGTTGTTTGCATTGCTATACGAGACGCTACATGCAATAGTCTCCTTCACRGTTACCTGCGYGGTTATCTCMATGGAGCACCAAAAAAGGAGGTTTCTGAGGGGTTTGTCATAACTGTTGGTGRCAAAGAACTTTAGTAGATTGACACACTAAACTGACGCCAAACTAACATCTTAACTCTTAACTCTTATATAGAGCTTACAATTAATGATAAGTTATTTTGCTTKTTCTGTTGCAGACCACCTAGAAAGGCTTTCAATACTAATAGA